CCCGCGCCTGGCCGACTACTCACCTCGGCAAAGAGGGCGTTGGAGATGCCCTGGGCCTTCTGCGTCGCCTGGTCGCCCTCCTGCTTGCCGCGCGACGAGATGCTCTCGACGGTCTTGGCCAGGTTGGCCTGGAGGTCGCGGACGACGTCGGTGGCGCGCTGGAGGTAGGCGTTCTGGCTCTTGATCTCGTCAAACTTGGTGTGGGCGCCCTCGTAGGCGGGCACGACGTGGGCGTCGTAGGCGGCCTTGGCGGGCGTGTAGACGCGCTCGCCGTACGCCTGCTGGATGGCGGCGGCGTAGGCCTGGACCAGGTTGCGGGCCTGGTCGGCGGGCGTCTTGGCGGCCTCGATGAGCTCGTTGGCGTTGGCGTGGAAGGGGTAGCTCCACCTGCTCTCGGCAAAGTCGAGCGACTTGACGGCGAGCGAGTCGACGTAGGCCAGCTGCGGGTGCAGGCGGCTCGTGATGGGCGAGGCGGCCTTGAGCGACGAGTTAAAGGCGCCCTGGCCAAACTGGTAGGTGTGGGCGAGGAGCGGGTGGGCGTTGATGGCCGACTGGGCAAACGAGAGCGAGTCCGACACGAGGGGGACGGCGGCGATGCGCTGGAGCGCCTCGCTGTGCTCAAAGGCGTCCTTGGCCGGGTTGGCCGACGAAGGCGAAGCGACCGAGGTCGGGGCGGGAGCAGTCTCGGCGGCGGACATGGCTGCTAAGTAGCGGAGGTGTGTGGTTACCGGAGGTGGTGGTGGCGGCGACGGCGACGGTGGCAATCAGTGCAGTCGTGCGATGTGAGGGTGACCTCGCGTTGATAAGGCGGGACAGAGGGAGGGAGGGAAGGGCGAGATAGGGATGAGACGGCGATGGGAAGGAACGAAGGCGCACGGTGCCCGAGCGATGGGTAGATATAGGCGGGCAGAGCCAGGCTGGCAATCCATGCCAGGCCAGCCACCGACCAAGCTGCTGATTGATGGGGCCGTGGCCCGTTCGTTGGCCGCCGTGATGCGCCGTCGGCAGGCTAAGCTTCGAGGAGCTTGGCTGGCTGGTTGCCTGGTGGGAGGGTTGGTTGGGGAGCGAGCGCCTTTCACGGGGCTGCCCACAGGCCAGGACAGGCCTGGCCAGGCCAGGCCTGCGTTGCTGCGCAGCGACCACGTCCATGAATTCCCGTCAACGAGGGGGGCGACAAAGTTTTCTGATGCCTGGCACAGCCCCCCCTGCCTGGCCTGCCACGCCTGCCACGCCATTGGCCGAGGCGAAGAAACCGCCGTACGGGTGCCACCTCGACGTCGCTCTCGACGCTCCCGGTCTTGTCTCTGTGTTGTTGTTCTGTGCACGAGCGACCTGCGTTCGAGGTGGTGCGTGAAAGGCAGGGCGCGCCGCCGCCGCTGCTGTATCGAGGGTTCGGTGTCGCCCGTGCGTTTTGCCACAGCGCTGCCTGGCCTGCACCGGTACATGTCGCGCCATGCAGGGCGCTGCCGCCTTTAGGGTTTGCCTGCCTGCCTGCCTCGCTGTCCGGTCGACACCGGCGCGACCGAGTCGCCTTTCACGACCACAGCGACCTAACTTGACTGAGGCCTGGCCGCCTAGTAGGCGGCCTGGTGGCACGGTGTGTAGCAACGTCCGTCGTTGCCATTTGTTGTATGGCAGGCAGGCAGGCGCATTGACTCCTGTCTTATCGTCGTCGTTGTCGCATCGGCACGGCGCAGTCTGCAAGCACACCGGCCGTAGACGCAGACGCAACGTACGGCGCTGATCACCAGCCGGCATGTCTGAGGCGTGGCACGACATCGCAGCCTAGCTAGAGGACGTACTCGCACCCTCGCCACCCTGTGCTCGGAAGGCTTCCGAGGCAGCCGTACAGTACGCACGCGTGTTGCCTGCTTGCCGCCGTACGACGACAAAGGTGGCCGGCCACGATGGCGAATTTTAGAGCTCGCCTCGCCTCGCCGCCCTCGCCTTCTCTGTCTGTGGCCCCGGGCAGCGCGGCGATGAAGCTGGCCTCCTCGCGACGAGGAAAGAGAATTCACACCGACCTCGCTCGAAACGACCGCCGGCGTTTGAAGATTCATACAAACGGCCGCTGCTGCCGCCGCCGCCACCTGCCCGACCATCAAGCAGGTGCCCACAACGATATGCAGTATCTCGCTCCCTCCAGCGTATCGCTGCTCGTACGTGGCGTATGCTGCCATCGCCACCGACCATGGTGCTGGCTGCTGCTGCTGCTGCTGCCGACCTGCGGGCAGGTCGCACAGAGGAAGGCCGGGTAGGGGGCGCGATGCAAGGAGGGCTTGCTGTGGCGGGCGTCGAGCAGCAGCGCAGCGACGAGGAAGGCGCAGGCAGCAGGCGTTGAAAGGGCCTGGCCTAGTCCGGCCTCGCTTGGCTTGCCCGTGAAAACGTGCTGCGAAGACGTGGTTGGCTGGCTGGCTGACGCACCCGTGCTGCGAGCGTGGGTGCGAGCCAGCAGCTGCCCGGCCGGTCCTCTTGGCTGCGTGCGTGTGCCTGCGTGGGCGTGGCGTGCGAACCCGGCTGGCTGGCCTGCAAACCGCCTGCCTGCCTGCCTGCCCTGCCTGCCTGCGTGGGCCTCAAGCTTGCCTGTCGGCCTGGCTGTCAAGGACGCCGGCGGGTTTCAGAACCCTGCCTGCCTGGCCTTCCCTCGGTCGGTGCCCCTGCCTAGCCTGCCTGCCTGCCTGCCTGCAAATGCACCCGTTCTTCCGCGCCAGCCCGGTCGGGAACGTCTCCGACGTCGAGCGGACGAGCGCAAGCGACGCGGCCGGCCGCTTTCCAAACCTCGGTGGCACGCACGCGCGGACAAGCCCAGACACCCTCTCGCCCAGCCTCCTGCCTACCGCCCGTCGTCGATAGCGGAACCCGTTTCAGCCCTTTCAGAGGCCGGAATGCGGTCATTCCGATCGTATGGCGAGCAAGACACAAGCCAGGCCACAGGCAAGCAGGCAAGCAAGAAACAACAACATCGTATCGTATCGTGGAGCCCCAACGACCGGCCATTCTAGCCCGTGCGTGGACCGACGACGTACGCACGCACGTCCGATGGTCCAGGAAGACGTGGGCGCGCTCGATGACGGAGGAAGAAGGTCCGCGATGGTTATCAGGATTTCATGGGAGGCGCCGACTGGCCGGCCGGCTTGGCGTGTGCAAAAACGTGCGTCTGATCCTTGTCGATAAGGAGAACCAAGCGGGCGCGTTACATGCGTTCTCTCAGAGTGGTGAGAACGCTTCCAGGCTGCCCATCGGACGCCGCTCGGCCCGATCGGGCGTTGCCTTGCACCTCATCGCTCGCTCGCTCATGGGGCCAGGTCGGACATCGTTGCGCCACGAGCACGCGCGGCCAGGCCAGGTCAGATAGGGAGGCATGATGCCATACCTTAGCCTGACCTTGGTGCCTCGACGAGACGATCGACCCTCGCCGCTCGATCGTCTATCGTCCACAAAGAGCGGCGCATTACCGGCAGAAGCGATCCTCGAGCTGCTTCCATCGTCATGCCCACATACCCTCTGCCCGCAACGACCAACGTGACGCCCAGCACGTACGAGCGCCCTCTGCCGGTGTTGTTCATCTATCGTCCAGCGGCATCGCGTGCGTGCGTGCGTGGGTGGGAGTGCGCCGCAGCTGACGCGGGCCGAGCTACCGGTAGCTACATGAGGCTGGACCGGGCGCCAATCTGGTCGCTGGCCTGGCCGTCGGGGAAATTGGCGTCGCGTTCGCCCGCAAAGGCCTTGTAGATGGCCTTGAGCCGCCTCTGCTCCTCGACGGGCACGCTGGGCCGCGTCGCCTTGAGCGACGTCTCGAGGTGCGAGTCCGTCACCAGCACCTTGGCCCTCGCCCCGTTGGCCGCCTTGGACGTCGAGGCGCCCAGGTCGCTCCCTCGTTGGCCCGACGACGACGCCGCCTGGCGCGCGCGCCGCTGGTTCTGCAGGACCAGCTCGAGTTTGCGCGACAGCGCCTGCTGCTCGGCGCCGCTCATCGTCTTCTTGCTCACCCCCGCCCCCGCCGCCTGGGCTGCCCCGCTACTGCTACCGGGCCCGCCGCCACTGCCTCCAAACGAGATGAAGCGCGCCGGCTTCCCTGCGCCACCGTCCCTCTTGTCGGCGCCCGCCGCCTCGCCGTCGGCGCCGCCCTGGTCGGCCGCGGCCGCGTTGATGCTGTCGTGGATCGTCTCGAGGTGGGCGTTGTACAGCAGCGCCTGCAGGTCTGCGCCCGAGTAGCCCTCGGTCCGCTGCGCCCAGCGCTGCAGGTCGACGGCGGGGTCGAGGTGGACCTTGCGCGAGATGGCCTCCATGATGTCGACGCGGTCCTCGAGCGTCGGCATGTCGCACAGCAGCGACTTGTCCAGGCGTCCCGGTCGCAGCAGCGCCGAGTCGATCAGATCCGGCCGGCTCGTGGCCGCCAGCACGTAGACGCCGTCGAGCCCCTCGGCGCCGTCCATCTGGGTCAGCATCTGGTTGACCACCCGGTCCGTCACGCCCGTGCTGTCGTGGCCTCTGCGGGGTCGCGACCGCGAGGAAAAGGGAAGCGGACGATCAAGGGCGACGGTCAGCGATCGTCGATCCTCTGCGCCGTCGTTGCACCGCAGACCTCGGGCAGGGGCGCACACTCACCTTTTTGGTGCGATGGAGTCAAACTCGTCAAAGAAGAGCACGCAGGGCTTGGCGGCCTGGGCGCGGTCGAAGAGGTCGCGGACCGACTTTTCCGACGCTCCGATGTACTTGTTGAGAATCTCGGGCCCCTTGACCGAGATAAAGTTCAAGCCGCATTCCTTTGCGACGGCGCTGGCGAGGAGCGTCTTGCCGCAACCCGGGTAGCCGTAGAGGAGCAGGCCAGATCGCAGGCGGAGCGGGCAGCTAGCAAAGATGGCGGCGTACTTTGTGGGCCACTCGAGCGTCTCGCGCAGCACGCGCCGCGTCTCGACCAGGCCGCCGATGTCGGACCAGGCGACCGACGACTTTTCCAGCTTGACGTCGCGCAGCGAGAGCGGCGTGAAGCCCTCCTGCGCCTTGGCAAAGTCGGCCATGGTCAGTTGGAACGCGGGGCTCGGGGCACCACCAGGACCGGCCGCAGCCGCCATCGCTGCGGCCTCGGCCAGCCGGGGCGGGGCATCGCCGTTCGGCAGCGGGCCGTCGGTCGTGGTACCGGGCGCATGCCTGCTCTCCGCGGCGGCGGCCCGGATGGCCGACTGGTGGACGGCACGCTCGACAAGGTCCTTGAGGTCTGCCGGCAGGTAGCCCTCGGTCTGCGTGGCGAGCGTGACAAAGTTGAGATCGCCCTCGGATTCTGGGCCAGCTTCCGTCGCTGTGGCCGCCGACGCCGTTGCGCCCGGCGGCGGCTTTGCAGTCTTGCCGCGCACGAGGTGGGCCAGAATCTCGCGACGCCCCTCCTTGCTCGGCGGCTTCAGCTGGACGTTGTCGATCCAGAGGTGGCTCGAGTTGAGCAGCGAGTGGATGCTGGTGTTGTTCTGCGCCGTTGCGACGACAAACACCTCGAAGTCCTTGACGCAGTCGCGTATCCGCGCCACGAAGGCCTCAGCCAGCTGCCTCGAGCGCTGTGAGTCGACATGCTCGAGCTCGGCAGGGATGATGCGGTCGATGTTGTCGAGGACGAGCAGGCTGGGCGCCTTCCAGGCGGCCTCGTTGAGCCACTCGGAGAACTTGGCCCGCAGCACAGGTACCCTCTCCTCGGCAAAGGGCGAGCAGTCGATGCGCGAGGTCGACATCAGCAGGCCGGGGTCCGACGAGAGGCGGGACGAGATCTCCTCGGCCACGACAGTCTTGCCCGATCCGGGCCCGCCGGTGAGGAGGAGACCGCTCGAGCCGGCAAAGGGCTTGACCGAGCCGAGCCCACCACTGGCAGCAGCGGCGGCGGCGATAGCGGCGGCAGCGTGCAGCCGTCGCGATCGCAGCGTGCCCGAGACGATGTCGATGCAGGTAGAGAGAATCGACTCGACGCCGGCCAGCGTCTTGGCCGCCTGGCCCGCGGACAGGTCGCCTCCGTCGTCGCTGCCGCCGTTTCCAATGCCGTTGGCGCTGGCGTCGGCGGTGGCGCTGCGCACGGCCGATCCAGGAGGCGCCGGTGTGAAGCGGACCAGGTCATAGTCCTGGAGGCCAAGCTGGCGCCTCAGCGCGGGCCCAACGGCGACGTGGCTTTCGGGCCACGCCGGCGCCGCAGCTTGCGTACCGCCGCCGACGCGCAGATAGCCCTCGCCAGCAGCGTAAAAGGCGCTGGCGGTAGGTCTGGTTGGCAGTTCCGCTCTTGCCGCCCCCCCTTGAGCCTCGGCACTGTCCTGCGGCTCGCCATTGTTCGCCGCACCGGCGTTGGCTTCCGGCCGGGTCTCGCCGCCGCTCTTGGTCAGGTCGCTGCTGGGGCAGGTGACTTTGGTGATGGCGATCCTGCCCTTGGGAAAGAGCTCGTCCAGCTCGGCGAACCCGGGCATCGAGTCGATAAAGGCGGGGCTGCTCTGACTGGGAACGAGGACTGCATTCTGCAGCCAGCCTTCCGAGGCCGGCAGCTTGACAAAGTGGTCGGGCAAGATCCTCCATAGCAGCTTGGATATGGCCTCCCGCCGCTCCGCCTGTTCCCTGGCCGAGCCCGAGGCGCCATTGCCGGGTGCCGATCGGCCGGCGTTGAGGTCATGTCGTTCCTCGGCAGCATGGTCCTCGGCCCTTTTCGGACGGAGGCGAGGGGCGATGATGACCTCGGAGTCGGTCGAGAGGCGGACGGCAATGTCAGTGGCGGTGTCTTTCTTTGGTTCGACGTCGTCCGAGCCGGCAGAGGTGGATGCAGCGGCATCCGAGGTAGGCGGAGTCGTGGCGTCGACGCGGAAGCGGACGACGGTCTTGCCCGCCCTGCCGACGTGGACGCCAATGACTTGGCCCGTCTTTGCCGCCCTGACCTGGCCGAGCATGTTGATCTCGACCTCTTCTGCATGGATGCTGAGGATCTCCCAGTCGTCTGGGGAGAGGGGCGTCACCTCGATCTTTTCGGCGGTGGGTAGCGGGGGTGAGCGGAGCAGGCGGACGGAGGCGATGGCGCCCTCGGCCAGGGGCGGCCGGAACGAGGCGGCGAGCGAGGGCGAGATGGATATGACGTCCGAGACGGAAGCAGAAGAGGACGAGGCGGATGACGAGCTGAAGGACGAGGCGACGTCGAGCGGTGCGGCGCTCATGCCCGTCCAGCCGGCATAGTAGGGCTGGCGAGCGGATGCGGCATCGCCCGTGCCCGTGTGTGGATCAATCTCTACGACGAGCGACTGCGGCGACACCTGGCGGTCTACAAGGGGCGCATAGAGGCAGATGGGGAGGTGTACCAGCGAGGAGCGGAGGGCGGGGTCGAGCTGGACGCGGACCAAGGTGGCCTTGGCCGACCTCGGCTTGACCTTTGGGCGGCTCATGGGCGAGCGAGCGGGCGGACGGGCGAGCGGTCGAAAAGGTCTATAGCCGGCGGCGCAGCGAGGTGTGGTGAGCGAGCTTCCAGTGTTTGAGAGGCGGTGATGGTGGTTGCGCTGTGGGTGGGGATGGATGCCGGGCTACCAGGGCAAGGCAAAGCTCGGGAATGCGGGGGCGGCCAGCAACAAGAAGGTGCACGGCCTCGGTCGGCGGCACCGGCTACCCGCAGCCACCGGCCCCCGTTTCACGCTTGCCTGCCGGACAGGCCAGGCTAGGCTAGGCCCTGCAACCTTACCCGAATCTCGGGCGAGAGAGGCAACCCGCCGGCCGGCCAGAAACGATCACCACAGCGGCCAGAGAGGCAGGCCTGCTGGCCTGGCCTGGCCTGGCCTGCCCGCTCAACCTCAAATTTTTCTGCAGGCGGGTGGGTGACCGCCCACCGCACGGCCAGCCAGCCAGCCAGCCAGCCAGCCAGCCAGGAAGAAGAAGCTTGCAGCCATGCCTGGAATACAAGCCAGGTCAGGCTGTCTGAATACAAAACTTGCTCTTGGCGGGCGCAAGAGGCAGGGCTGCAATACAAACGCTCAAGAGGGCAGCCCGCTGCTCCACCCACCCGCTCTGTTCGACCCCGCAACCACCACCATCCCTTATCGTCCTACGCAGCACCAGGCCGCAGCACCATCGTTCGACGATAGCAGCACCAGCAGCGTCTCGCACACCACATCCAGCTTAGCGCAGCCACCGTCCCTTCGACCCTCGTTTGCATCAGTGACCGCCGGCGGGCCCTCGAACCGATAGACACCTAAAAGGAGCAGCACAGCCTCCACCCCACCCTGCCGCCACCGCCGCCCACCCATCTTGGCCTCGTATACCACATCGGCCCAGCTCGACTGATCGCTCGCCACCGCCAGTCGCTGTCCCATCTCTAGCACCTCGTCCTCGCTCTCACCCCCGCCCGCTGCCCACCATGGCCTCGCAGCAGTCGTCCGATGCCGCCGACGCCAACATCCAGATCTGGAAGGTCAAGAAGCTGGTCAAGCAGCTCGACGCCGCTCGCGGCGCGGGAACCTCGATGATCTCGCTCATCCTGCCGCCACGCTCCCAGATCTCGCAGGCGTCCAACATGCTCACGCAGGAGTACGGCACCGCCTCCAACATCAAGTCGCGCGTCAATCGCCTCTCGGTCCTCTCGGCCATCACCTCGACCCAGCAGCGCCTCAAGCTATACAACCGCGTCCCCGACAACGGCCTCGTCGTCTACTGCGGCACCATCCTCACAGACGAGGGCAAGGAGAAGAAGGTCAACTTCTCCTTTGAGCCCTTCAAGCCCATCAACACCTCGCTCTACCTCTGCGACAACAAGTTCCACACCGAGGCCCTCAGCGAGCTCCTCGAGGCCGACTCCAAGTTTGGCTTCATCATCATGGACGGAAACGGCGCCCTCTTTGGCACCCTCTCGGGCAACACAAGAACAGTGCTCCAGAAGTTCTCGGTCGACCTGCCCAAGAAGCACGGTGAGTGCTCGACTGGGTCTGGGCCCCTTTCCCGGAGACGAGTCGTCGTCGACGCGGGCCTGCTGCAGCCTCTGACCCTTGCTTGCCGCTTTGCCCCGCGTCTGATCCACCTCTGTGCGCGCGTCCCCCACTCGTCCCCCTCCGTCGTGTTGACAGGCCGTGGTGGTCAGTCGGCGCTGCGTTTCGCCCGTCTGCGAGAAGAGGCGCGACACAATTACGTGCGCAAGGTGGCCGAGATGGCGACGACGCACTTTATCACGGACAACAAGTGCAACTGCGTCGGCCTGGTGCTCGCCGGTTCGGCCGACTTCAAGACGGAGCTGGGCCAGTCGGACATGTTCGACTTCCGGCTGGCGCCCAAGATTATCCGCACGGTCGACGTGTCGTACGGCGGCGAGAACGGCTTCAACCAGGCCATTGAGCTGTCGGCCGAGTCGCTCCAGAACGTCAAGTTTGTGCAGGAGAAGAAGCTGATTCAAAAGTACTTTGACGAGATCTCGCTCGAGACGGGCAAGTACTGCTTCGGCCTCGACGACACGTTCAAGGCGCTCGAGCTCGGCGCCGTCGAGACGCTCATCGTCTGGGAGAACCTCGAGGTGACGCGGTACGTGCTCAAGGACAGCGAGGGGAGCACCAACGTCCTGATGCTCAACAAGGAGCAGGAAAAGGACAAGAGCCGCTTCCTCGACAAGGCGACGGGCGAGTCGATGGAGCAGGTCGAGGAGCCCATGCCGCTGCTCGAGTGGCTCGCCGAAAACTACCGCACCTTCGGCACCAACCTCGAGTTTGTCACCGACCGATCACAAGAGGGCATGCAGTTCTGCAAGGGCTTCGGCGGCATCGGCGGCATCCTCCGGTACAAGGTCGCCTTCGAGGACATGGCCGTCTACGAGGACGACGACGAGTTCATGAGCGATGACAGCGACGACTAGACGAGCCCGCTTGACCCCCCTCGATCCATCCGTCGCTCCCTCGCTCCCGCGATCCCTTCCCACCTGTACTCTGTTCTCTTTCTCTTTTGCATGACCCCTCCCTCGAAAAGCATCACAACCGGGAAATGGCATATCCTTGCGTCCTGCACAGACTCGTTTGCGTTGCCAGCGCTAATCACCGGCAGCGGAAGACTGTTGGCGCGAACGAGCGAAGGAAGTGTCGAGCGCGAAGGGGGAAGGAGCTCGAGAGCGGGCTAGCCGGGGCTGCTCCCACATTTCGCCCAACAACTCCCCACATTTGCCTGGAGAAGAGCCCTCGACCATGCTCATCTGCTGGTAGTGATCCTCAGGCTTGCAAAGATGCCTGGAGCAGCCTGATTGGAGCCCTGGAAGGCGGTCTGTGTGGGTAGAATGTCGATTTCCGACGATTTTCGAGCATTTTCAGCACTCTGCCCAACAAGTCTCCACATCTGCCCTGTGAAAGACCCTGCAACCCTGCTCATCTGCTAGTCCTGATCCTCAGGCTTGTAAAGATGCTTGCAGCAGACTGATTGAAGCACTGGAAGGGAGTTTGGGTATATTTCGAGGTTTTTGAGGTGCCAAAAGCGAGGCGAGCGGGCTGCAGGCGAGTGCGTTACCGGCGCGCGGGCTCAGGGTCCTGCACCGAACGTTTCTCCCCACCACCACCATCATCTTGGCCACTGCCGGCATTGCATCTTGCCACCTGCCGAGCTGACCCCCAGCACAACAGCTCGTATCGCCATGTCGACTACTCCCTTCGAGGTGGCGCGCCACCTGGTGGACGAGTCGCACAAGCGCGATCCCGCCTACCTCTCGCGCAACGCCGCCCAGCCGGCAGAGGATGGCCAGCAGAAGAAGGACGAACTGGCTTACGCCGACGCCATGGAGAAGTGGACGCAGCATCTCCTCGCGGCGCTCAAGGGGACAGATGGGCTCAACGCTCTGATCGCGAGCATCTACCCAGCGTCGCAGGCGGCGGCGGATGGGGAGATCGAGTCCAGGGCGGGTGAGCTGCTCCGGCTCGCGTCGCGGTGCCAGCACCTCGAGCGCTTTCTCACGCCGCGCTCGAGCTATCCGGAGGGCAAGGCGGGATACCTCAAGTGGCGGAGGGACCTCTATACCATCCAGGCAGAGCGCGCCAAGCAGCTCCTCCTCCAGGCCGGCGTCGAGCAGAGCGAGGCCGACTGGGTCAGGAAATGGGTCAGCAAGACCGACCTCAAGCCGGGCAAGGATGACGGCGACGTCGGCACGCAGGTGAGTCGCGACCGCTCGAAGCGAGCGTGGTACGCTGCCAGCTGCGTCTGACGCTCCCATCTCTCTCTGCGACGGCTGTTCGTCCGTTTGTCCGCGCTCTGACCTGCCATCAGCTGCTCGAGGACGCCGCGGTCCTCGTCTTCCTCGAAGACGAGCTGGCCCTCTTCGCCGCGCAGCATGGCGAGTACACAGAGCAGAAGTTCATTGACATTATCAAAAAGTGAGTGCGATGCCATGGACACTTCGTCTTGCGGGCGCCACCCTCGTTGTCATGCTGACCAGGACGTCTGCCGGACCCCTACCTCTGCTCGCAGGACATGGCGCAAGCTCTCGCCGCTCGGCAAGGACGAGGCTCTCAAGCTGAGCATGCCAAAGGGCCTGAGCGAGCTCATCAAGAAGGCAATCGCGCCGATCGAAGCGGAAGCACAGGGGTGAGCAGCTGCGACAGTCCCTCTTCGCCCACACTCGCAAGGGGTCCAAGGGCAACCCCCTTCCTCTCCCATCCCTCACGATGGCCCGTAGCTCGGCCCTTCTTCATGCCCCGCATCATACCCATTCCGCCCCGCCCCTGCCTCTTTCTTGTCCCCGCTTTCCTCAGTCGCTGTCTCGCCCTTGCAATGGCACACATGAATCGACGCTTGGGGCGAGGCGGCATGAGGCGGCGTGAGGCGGCGCGCGACAGAAAGAGGCTTTGCAGCACGAGGCTGACCGCGTCGTTCCCTTTCCCCTGCCTGCTCAGACCTGCCACCAACATCGACGCGGCGCAGAACCGCAAGAAGCAAGTGTCGTCGTCGGCGCCCTACACGCAGCGGGCGCTGCGGCCCAAGACGGCGGCGGAAGCCGAGGCGATGCTGGCCGCCCGCTCGGTGCCCGACAGCTCCACCGGCAACGACGAGGCCAATGCTGCCGACGGGGAGCCGGCCTTCTTTGGCGCGCGGCTGCTCAAGGAGACGGACGAGGATGCCGTGTGGGCGCACAACGCCTGGGACCACGTCACGCCGCCGCCCGAGCACCTCGAGATGGTCGAGCAGCTGCTGGCCAAGCAGGCCGAGACCAAGCTCTCCCTCGACGAGCAGCAGGCCTACCACGAACGCCCGGCGAGCTTCTGGGACACGTTCTACAGCGCCCACGAGAACCGCTTCTTCAAGGATCGAAAGTGGCTCCACCTCGAGTTTCCCGAGCTCGTCGAGGCCACGCTGGAAGGGGTGAGTGGAGTGGGAGAGGCGATGGCGATGCTCTCGGCTCGATCAGCACCCTCGGCGTCGACGCCGACGATGAACGGCCTCGCTGACTCTTCTGACCTGGTCTCGTTGTGCTCGGCTTGGACAGGCGCCACCGACGACGATCCTCGAGGTCGGCTGCGGGGCGGGCAACACCGTCTTCCCACTGCTCGAGATGAACCAGAACCCGCACCTGACGATCCACGCGTGCGACTACTCGTCCGAGGCCGTCGGCGTGGTGCGCTCCAACCCGCTCTACGTGTCGCCGCCCAACGGAGCCACTTGCCACGCCAACGTGTGGGACCTCTCGTCGTTGTCGTCGTCATCCGCGGACGGCGCGGCGACACCCAACCTGCCGCCGCAGGTGGAGCCGGGGAGCGTCGACATTGTCGTCCTCATCTTTGTCCTCTCGGCGCTGCACCCGCGCGAATGGAGGCAGGCCGTGGAAAACATCAAGACGCTCCTCAAGCCCGACACGGGCCTCGTCCTGCTGCGCGACTATGGCCGGCACGACCTGCCGCAGCTGCGCTTCAAGAAGAGGAGGATGCTCGAGGACAACTTCTACCGTGAGCCAGCTTCCTCGGCCCCCGCCCCGGCCGCGCGTGCTCGAGACAGATCGACGACTGACCCATCGGGATCCTGACTCGGACACTCGCTCGGCGACGTCGGCGTGTGCGGCTCGACCAGTGCGAGGCGACGGGACGCGCGTCTACTTTTTCACTCCAGAGGAGCTCATCGACATCTTTGACGCCACGCCCCCGCCGCCGGAACGCGGCGTCGAGGTGCTGCTACCGGACGCCGCGGAAACCGGACCTGCCGCTGCTGGGGGCGACGATGCGGCGGCTTCGAGCGAGGAGAAGGCGGCCATCGCCGACGAGCTCGAAGCGCTCAAGCTCTCGTCGTCCGAGGCGGCCGCCGCTTCGACCGCCGCTGCCACGGCCATGCAAGCGGCCGACGACGGCACGAGGCAAGGCAAAACGTTTGAGACGGTGCAGATGGCCATTGACCGGCGGCTGCTCGTCAACCGCAAGGAGCGAAAGAGGATGTACCGCGTCTGGATGCAGGCCAAGTTCCGCTTCCAGCAGCGGCAGCAGCAGCAGCCGGAGCCAAGGCGGTAGCTTTTCCGACGCGGATTTGCGCACAGACAACAGCGTCCTTCCGATGCAGCGAACGAGGCAAGATTGAATCGAATTGCACGAAAGGGCGACCGGGCAACCGATGCGACGTTATCCTGGACCGACCTTGGGGATGTCGTGGTGCTCGGAGAGCGAGGCGAGGTACTGGTTGAAGGCGTCGACCTTTTCCTTGTGCGACAGCTTGGCCTCCTTCTGGATGCGTTGGTGCATCTGCCGAGGGGCGGGCAGGCATAGAGGCGGGGTAGGGACGTCAGCGTGGCGACAAGAGAGGATGTTGCGGCCATGCGGCGAGCTGGCGAGCGGCGCGGAGGCGGGGCGACACTTACGCGCTTGCGCCTCATTTCCTCAAACTTTTTCTCGGACTCGGTCTGCTTGCGGCCCGAGGCGGCGAGCTCGGCCTCCTTGTCCTCGATCTGGGCGAGCAAGTCGGCCTCTAGACGGTCCTCGTCGCTGAGCTTGCGCGACGGGTCGCCGCTGCCGCTCGCCTTTTTCGCATCGGCCGACGTGGAAGACTTGGACTTTTTCTTTCTGCGGTGGGTTGCGAGGGGCAGGTACGGCGATCAGCCTATCTCTTCTTTCCTGCTCTGCGATCGCGGAGGAGAGCGGGACCTACTTCTTCTTGTCCTTTGCGCCGTTGGCGGATGAGCCTTTGAACTTGAGCGATCCGCCGGGACGGTGCGAGTAGGCGGCCGACGAGGATGAGGTCGAGGACGACATCGTGGCGTGCGCGCTGTGACCCGGGCAGTGCCCTCAGCGGGACGAGGATGGAGACGACGTCGCTGTGCTGTCCGTTGGCGGGGCTGGTACTGCGAGGAGGTGGATGGTGGTGGTGGTGGTGGTGGTGGTAGTAGCCGGAGGAGCAAAGGTGCCGAGGCCCGGCGGGGCGGGGCAGCGCAGGTGGAGGTGGCTTTGGCGTGTGATCGCGGCAGGTTCATGGTTGTGAATCGGTGTTGTTGACTCGGACGAGTCAGTTGGCTGCGGTCTGGCGGCCCCCTGCAGCCTGCTTGCCTGCTTGCCTGCTTGCCGCCGTGCCACGCTGCCTGGCCGTGCCTGACTGACGACGTATGGGCCCGAGGAGAGAGAGGGCTTGGCCGCCTCGTCTGTCCTCCACCTCGTTGCATCTTCTCGTGCCCCCTCCTCTCTCGCTCCCTCTCTCCTCTCTTCTCCCTCCTCCTCACTCCCCTCCTGCGCACTACTGCACACACCACACAAGCACCATCCCCCTGTCCAACCACAGCAACACCCCACCTTGCATCGCCACCCCCTCTCTCTCTTTATGCCAGTCACCGCCCGGATCGCCCGCACCATCACCGCCCTCACCATCAGCGCATCCACCTCGTCCTCTGCTCCCGCCGCTCGCCGCGTCGCACGGTCCCTCCCCGCAGTCCGCCCCTACTCGACCAAACCCTCGGGCACCTCAAAGCCCGGAAGCAACCACCCGAGCCCGCTAGGCTTTGCCGCACTCGCCATCCTCGCCTTTGGCACCTTTGCCTTTGTCGCTCAGAAGCGTCACACCGACCCCGAAAAGCACACCCGCGAGAAGCGCATCCCGCACCCCAACCCCCTCATCCCGCCCAGGTCCCAGGAGCCTCAGTAGAAGGCCTCTGCTTCCCTAGATACGCCCGCCTCGCCCTTCTATCTCTCCCTTTCCCCACCTCCACCTCCCCGCCCGTCTGCTCCTCTCTCCTTCGGCAACCACGAAGGAGACAGCCAGTCGACACCACCCTTCACTCGCCCAAACTGAACTGGTCAAACACCCTCATCGGCAGAATGGGTCTCCTCGGCAAGTTCAGCCGCAAGAAGAAGCAGGAGCCCGGCGCAAACGAGCCCCACAACGCCATCGCCTCGGCGCCCGCAGAGCCCAAGCAGGCAGAGGCCCAGGAGCAGCACGCCGAGGCACAGGAGCAGCACGCCGTCAACGAGGCCACCGGTGCCTCGGCTGAGCCCGCCTTTGACCCCAAGAAGGTCACCGTCGTCTTTGTCCTCGGCGGGCCCGGCGCCGGCAAGGGCACCCAGTGCGAGCGCCTCGTCAGGGACTATGGATTCGTCCACCTCAGCGGTGAGTGGGCGCAGCACGGCGACCCGAGAGAGGGCCGGATTGCGGCAATGAGGCGTGCCTGGGCATCGAAAGACCTGGCGCTGACCCCCAATCCTTCTTGGCCTTCTTGCTCCTCTTTGGCACGCCTGGTCAGCTGGCGACCTCCTCCGCGCCGAGCAGCAGCGCGAGGGCTCCCAGTACGGCGCCATGATCGCCGACTACATCAAGGAAGGCAAGATTGTGCCGATGGAGGTGACGGTGGCGCTGCTGCAGAACGCCATCGGCGAGGCGCTCGCCAAGCAGGGCGCTACGGCCGCCGGCCACTCTGTGCCCGACGAGCACAAGGACAAGTGGGTCGATGGCAAGGGACGCTTCCTCGTCGACGGCTTCCCGCGCAAGATGGACCAGGCCATCAAGTTTGACGAGACCGTGTGCCCCTCGCGCTTTGTCCTCTTCCTGCACTGCACCGAGGCCGTCATGCTCGAGCGCCTCCTCGAGCGCGGCAAGACGAGCGGCCGCGCCGACGACAACGTCGAGTCGATCAAGAAGCGCTTCCAGACGTTTGTCGACACCTCGATGCCCGTCGTCGAGCACTACCGCCAGCAGGACCGCGTCGTCGAGGTCGACTCGATTGCCAGCGTCGACGACGTCTACGCCCAGATCAAAAAGGCCATGGACGAGACGTTTGCCAAGCTCGGCAACTGAGCGGCACCCGCACCCGCACCCGCACCGCGCGCGCGTCGCTCGCACGCTAGATACCTCGACCTACCCGCCCATCTTGCCATACTCTATCCTTTGACATTTTTTCGCTCCTGTGGCTGCTGTCCGCCCGCTCGCCCCGTCACCAGGCCTGGAGACATGGCCAGCCTCGAGTTGGCCTCCTGGGCCTCGGGCTCGGCGTGCCGGCGCCTGTCGTGTGTAGAAGCTTCGTACTACTATGGATGGAAGAATCGCCTCATCGTCGTCGTTGTCGTTGCGCTTGCAGCGCAGCGTGTGCGGCAGCAGGACGTGTGGGTGTTTGCCCGGGTGCATTGGCGGCAAGGAGCGCAGGACCAAGGCTGGCGTGTCCTGCAGCAGTGAGGGAGCGATAAGGAGTGAGCCCGAGAAGCCCTGCTGGCAGCGGTCTGTGCGGACCCTCGATTTTCGATCTTTTCCGCGGCGGCGGCGGCGGCGGTGGTGGCTCGGACCAAGCTGGGACGTACGTGCTGCAACCAACACGCGCGCCTGCGGCCGCAGGCTGCTGATCTGGAGGCCGGCCTGGCATCGCCTGCAAACCAACACCTCGCTTCTTTCTGGCCCTCCATCTATCCACCCCTCCCGGGCCTCCCACCATCGCTCCTCAGCCGGCCCTCGCATTGCACCTCACCCCCCGCTTCGCCCTCTCTGTACCAGCATCTTCACTCCCGCCAAGCCATCTTTCAAACACAGCATGGCCTCGGCATTCGACCGCGGAGCGGCGGCGGGCGCCTCGTCGTCGTCGGCGCAGGCCTCGGCGCTGCCGGCCCGCCACAAGTACGCCAACCTGCCGGACGTGGACATCACGGCACCGGACGTCTACGAGTCCACGAGTGTGCCAAGGACACGGCGACGCAAGGTCAAGCCCAGCGGCGGCAGCGGCAGGAGGCGAGACGAAGACATCGAAGGCCGCAAGACAGCCGGGCGAGCCGAGGGCCCCAACAGCCGCAACGACGACGATACAGACGACGACGAGGATGGCGACGAGGATGGCTACTCGTTCGAGTCGCAGTCGGACGAATCGATCGAGTCGTCCGACGACGACACGCCCTACAAGATCCGCAAGGTGCCGCGAGGGTGGACCAAGGCGGCGCCGCGGGTCGAGATTCAGTCCGACGACATTGAGAGGACCTCGCTCAAGCAGTTTGAGGCCGACAAGAAGTTCCGAAACGCCGTCGAGCTCGATGGCCGCGCGGCCGACTTCTCAGACAGGCTCAAGAGGGCCGGCGGCAGGAGGCGCGAGCCCGTGGGCAGGGCCACGACGGGGCGCGGCCGCGATGCTGGCATATCGACCACCACCTACCGACTCGGCGGGCCCAGCGCTGCGCGGCGAGACGGCGACGAGGAAGACTCGAGCGAGAGCCTGGTCGACCGGCTGAGGAGGCTCAAGTTCGAGGCAGGTCTGCTCGAAGAGGAGATCGCCAGGTCGGCCGAGACCGAGAGCGCCAGCATCAACGACGCCGGTGAGGGCAAGAAGGACACGGCCACATCGACCGCGCAGCCGGCGCCGAGCTCAAAGGTCGACCACGATGTGCCACTGTCGGAGCTGCTCTTGCAGCTGAGGATACTGCGAGCGCAATTGGCGCAGCTTGATTCGGCCGATCCGACCGCGGCGGATGCTGCTACGACCAGGGACAGGGCGGCATGGGAAGCGCAGACGAGAGGTCTCCTGGAGAAGCTCGCCGGCTCGGCGGCAACAGCGACCACGTCCGCTTCGGCCGCGGGCTCAACCGACGCCGAGGCCGTCAACGCGGCCAAGGCGCAAGCGCAAGTGCCCGGCAAGGCAGCCTCGACGAACATCGGTGCGCTGGACCGCCGGCTCGCTGAGCTCGAGGAGGCGCTGGGCGTCAACGAAGCGATGCTGGACGAGGTGAGTATGACCGGGCAGACTTGTGCGAGCGTGACGCCTTGAGCCAGCCGTCGAGACGGTGCTGACACTTCCGCGCTCCCACGCTCCCACGTTCCCGTGCTCATGTGGTGGCCACGCAGAACAAGGCGACGCCGAAGCCGATCCTGCCCACGCTGAACCGGCTCGAGCAGCAGCTGCAGCTGCTGAGCCAGCCGCGCCACCTCGACGCCATCAGCCGTCGAGTCAAGGTGTTGGTCACGGAGCTGGATCGCGTCCAGGACTCGAGGCAGAAGCTGCTGGCGGGCGGCGGCGAGGCTACCAACAACGGCGTCTCTCTGCCTGCCAATGTCGCCGGCGGCGATGGCAAGGGCGGCGATGCTGCTGCTGCTGCGGCGGCGGCGGCGACGACGACGGAGCAAAAGGGGCTGACTGCGGACGAGGTGGCCAAGCTGCAGCAGCTGTTCAGCGTGTCTACGCGGCTGGACCCGCTGCTGCCGCTGATCCCGACGGTGCTGGGGCGGATGCAGACGCTGTCGGACCTGCACGCGTCGTCTGCGCACTTTGCCCAGACGCTCGACGCCCTCGAGGCGCGGCAGCAGCAGCGGGACAGGGAGGACCGCGAGGCGAGCGAGCTGATGGCCAACCTCGAGGCGAGCATGGCGGAAAACAGAGAGCGCATGCAGGGCAACCTCGCCAGCCTCGAGCAGAGGATCGCCAGCCTCGCCGGCAGGATGGACCGCCTGTCGTCGCCGTAGGGGAAGAAGGAGCGTCGCACGCGCGGTGGACAATCGGCAACGGTCAGGTCGAGTCAGCCACACCTCGACGTCCATCCTACTGTGCGGCAACTATCCCTCGTCGCACCGAGCGGTGCGGGCCAGTCCTGCTTCGTACCGGTACCGCCTTCAGACCATTTTGAAATTGGACCCCTGCCTGCCTTCGCTTTCTGCCACGATGACCGCCAGCCGCTGACACAGCAAGCAAGCAAGCGTAGCGACACGCAGCGTCCTACCTGGCCTACCTGGCCTGTACGTGCGTCAGTTGCCGAGCGCCTCTGCTGTGGGACTGGTCGGCTTATCGCACCGCTGCGGCTGCCAGGGCCGACGGGGAAAGCATCGCATCGTATCGCGCCGTGCGTGCGTGTGAGCGCGACGAGGCGAGAAACGGGGGGCCCTCGGGATCTTTCCGAGCAGGCGGGCGGGCCAAAGGCCGGCGGGTCGGAAGCTTAGCAGCGCAGGCAGGCAGGCAGGCAGGCAGGTGACTCGCTGCGCCCACCCGCGAGCTGGCTGCCTAGCCTGCCTGCTTTTTTCGAGTTTTCTTTGTCGGCCTCGTGGCTTTGGCGGGGACGGGCGGAGACAGGCGGCGTGCTCTGGCTGATTAGGAAGGCCGCGCCCAGGGTCTGGCTGGCCTGCGCTCCTGCCCCAGCCTCGCCCGGCAATCCCCCGCGCTGCTCGCTGCTCTCCAAGTTTTCGCTTCCTAGCTCAAAGGGCCAGTGCGGGATTTCAAGACGACTCGGTGGCGAGAAGGTGCTCTTTCCCTCGCAGTCGACCACCATCACCACCACCGTCACCCTCCTCGCCCTACTCTCAACCCTCCCTACCCGTCCCTACCCCTCTTCCCCTCTCCCCCGCCCCGCTCTCGTCTCATCATGGCAGCCGGCGACGTCGAGGCCGTCGCTTTGCCGACCGCCGCCACCGTCGAGCACGAGCAGGAGCACGAGCAGGAGCGCCGCCTGGACAAGGACGATGCGGGCGACGTCCACGGCGACGACGGCGGTGCGTCGCTGCACTCGTCGGCCAAGTCGACGGCCAGGGACTCTCTGCTCCACTACCTCGACCGCCTCTCGCTCACCCTCAACAAGGTCTCGGTCGAGAGCATCGGCATCCGCCCGCTGCGGCCCGAGGAGCGCAACAGCGAGACGTGGTGGAGCGTCTCGCTCGTCTGGTTCAGCTCCAACCTCAACATCCTCTCGTTCTCGACGGGCACCCTCGCCCCGCTGCTGGGCCTCAACATGAAGTCGGCCCTCGTCACCATCCTCCTCTTTAGCGCCTTCTCGTCCCTCTTCCCCGCCTACTTTGCCCTCTTTGGCTCCAACCTCGGCATCCGCCAGATGGTCCACGCGCGCTACTCGTTTGGCTACTTTGGCGCCATCCTCATCTGCCTCCTCAACGCCGCCTCGATGCTCGGCTACTGCATCCTCAACACCATCGTCGGCGGACAGACGCTCTCGGCCGTCTCCCGGCCCGACGCCACCGGCGCCCCCACGCTCACCCCCACCGTCGGCATCGTCGTCGCCTCGGTCATTGCGCTTGTCGTCTCCTTCAGCGGCATCCGCGTGCTCCACTACTTTGAGCGCATCGTCTGGCTGCCCTCGCTCATCTGCTTCTGCATCCTGGTGGGCAAGATGGGCACGGGGCCCGACGGCCTCCACACGCCCGCCGTCGAGGAGCCCACGACGGCGCGCAGCGTCCTCGCCATGGGCAGCATCCTGGCCGGCTTCATCATCTCGTACTCGTCGCTCATCTCGGACGTCTCGCACTACCTCAAGCCCTCGACGCCTTCGCTCGCCCTCTTCCTCAGCTGCTGGGCCGGCTTCTTCTTCTCGTGCACCCCCATCCTCATGCTCGGCGCCGCCGTCGCCTGCGCTGCCGTCGACATCCCGGCGTGGGAGGAGGCCCTGGCCGTGTCGTCGGGCACCTTCCTCGACCTCATCCTCGGCGGCACGCTGGGCGGCTTCGGCAAGTTTCTCCAGGTCCTCCTCGCCCTCTCGGTCGTGGGCAACATCTCGGCCACCATCTACAGCCTGGGGCTCACGATCCAGACCATGGTCCCGCCGCTGGGCCGCGCGCCGCGCTTCATCTGGCCCCTCTTCGCGTTTGCCATCTTCCTGCCGCTCGCCATCGTCGGCGCGTCGCGCTTCTACACGACCCTGTCCAACTTCACCGCCGTGCTCGGCTACTGGGCCTCGCTCTACGTCGCCGTCGTCCTGACCGACCACTGGATCGTGCGCCGCGGACGGTGGGCGAGCTACGACCTCGCCGCCTGGAACCGCTGGGAGCTGCTGCCCACGGGCGCCTCGGCCGTCGGGGCGTGCGCCCTCTCGCTCGCCCTCGTCGTGCCCTGCATCGACCAGGTGTGGTTCGTCGGCCCCATCGCCGAAAAGGTGGGCGACCTCGGCTTCGAGGTCGGCCTCGTCCTCGCCGCCATCCTATACCCGCCCCTCCGCCTCGTCGAAAAGAGGCTCGTCGGTCGCTGAGCCCCGCTCTCCATATCCTTGTGCTGCTAGATTCCATTAGGCACGCATCCGCTCCGCTGCGAACCGCTTCGTAGAGGGAGCAGCAAAATGTCGGGCGGCCGGCCCTGCTAGAATGCTGGCCGCGCCTCGACGCACGGAAACCAATCGTAACGGGCCAATCTCATCTTGATACCACCACTCGGCTCGGTGCGAGTTGCTGGTTGCATCTGGCACGGCATCGTGCGCTTGCTTGCATTCGCCCTCCGTTGCGACCCATCTACATCGGTTCGTTGCGACGTCGCGATCTCCTGGCCCTGCTGCAGGCGGGGGTCCCGGGTCCAACCGAGCATCGCCGGACGGCTCAGAGGAGCAGACGGAATGGGTAGCTCGGGCTGCAGTGCGATAGGGGGAGCAAAAAAGAGGAGGGTCAGCAAAGTCCTCGTGACGTGCCGTGCCTCCAGGGCCGGACTGCAGCCACCACTCACTTCTTCATGCGGAAGATGGCAAAGAGCACGCTAAAGGTGCCCAGCATGATGGCCGACCACACGTAGACGCCGGCGCGTTGCCGCGTCGGGTCGCGCTGGGCGGGGACGAGGACGATGAGCGCCACAAAGCTGAATGCCAGCAGGGCGTCTGGATGCCGGGCGCGAGGGGAAGGGGAGGCAAGGGAAGGGCGAGCCAAAGCAGCGGCGTCATCAGATCGGGTCGAGGCGGAACAGAGGGCGGCGCGTGGCGCGACTCACAGATGGCGGCGACGATCTGGGTCTCGGCGCCGTACTGGTTCTGGAAGCCCGAGGCAAAGTACTGCACGCGTCCGCGGTCGGCCGAGAGGTAGGGCGCGTTGCGGATCTGGTTCCACATCTGGCCGCTGGTGAAAACGATCATCGACGAGAGCGAGAGGAGCATCCAGAGCGGCTTGGAGCTGGTGGGCATGACGGTCGAGAGCTTGGGCGCGACAAAGACGAGCGTCGTGACGACGACGACGACGGCGGTGGCGACGCCGGCGATGAGGCGGTAGTTGAGCGGCTTGGCGTACCTGAAGGGCACGTCAAACGTCTTGGAGAGGTGGGCGGCCAGGTCGCTGCCCTCGAAGCCGAAGCGGTTGAAGTCGTAGGAGATGGGGTCGGGTGTCGGGTTCGAGGGCGTCGAGGCCGGGAACGTCATGAGGACGGGCGCATGTTGCAGTTGGAACTGGCGGCGGGGGCCGATGGCAAGAGGGACGGAGGGGGGGGGCCAGAGGAGGGAGGATCTTCAGCATCAGCGGGCGTCCCCGACCAAAGGCCTCGCAGCGCACGCCGCACCTCGACTCACCAGCTTAAAGACCTCCCTGGCCCTGGAGAACTCGACCTTGGCAAAGACATTTTTGGACCTGCGCGCCTTGTCCCTGTTCCAGGATGCGGCGATGTTTTCAAAGTCGGGCTGGAAGGTGAGGCAGGGCGGGCAGTTGATGACCTTGTCGGTGGTGGTGAGGAGGGCGGTGATGGCGTAGTCGCGCGGGACGTGTACGAGCGCCTGGAAGTCGGCGGTGTCGACGTCGACAAAGCCCGACGACGAGGTGGCGGCCTGGCGGTAGAGGTCCTTTTGGCGCTGCACCAGCTGGGCGTCGCGCGCCGACGACTGCTTGGCCGACGAGGCGAGCAGCGGCAGCATCAGCGCGCCGAGGAGCGTGAGCGGAGTTGGCAGTCGCATGTTGGCGTGGCGTGGCTGGCCGAGGGGAGAGGGAGGCTAGGTTGGTGGTGGTGGTGGTGGTGGTGGTGGTGGTGGTGGTGGTGGTGGTGGTGGTGCCAGCGTCAGAGAAGCCTGGTCCCTCTGGGATCTTCTTTCTGGCTTTTGGCTGGCTGGCGGGCGGCGGGCGCACGGAGCAGCCCAACCAAGCGAGCGGGGCGCCACGCTGTCAAGTCGGCGGCTAACGAGGCTTCGCTGTGCAAATTGATTGAGACCCAAGACCGACTCGATCTCGGTCTGGGGGCGTGGTTGTGGGCCTCGTTTGTCTCCTTCTCGACACTCACTCGCCCGCTGGACCCTGTCTGTCCCTTTGAGCCAAGCTACGGCAACGGCCACCACATCGACCATCATCGTCATCATCATCGTCGCCCTCACCATCCACCGAGCCACCCCTGCTTGCCCCAAGTGCACACCGCATGGAGCACGGACAGCCCGCCTCGCCCGCGCTCTCCGCCACGTCGTCGAGCCGCTCCATCACCACGCCCAGAGCCGCCCTGACCCAGCTCCCCTCGCTCTCGACAGAGTCCCTACCCAACCAGCCCACACAACAACACCACCACCACCACCACCACCACCCCAACCACCACAGCCACCAGCATGTTGCGAGTGCCGACGATCCGCTCCACTCGCTGACCCCCTCGTCGCTCCTGCTGCCGCCCTATCCAAAGACCGCGCCCACTTCGCCCAACATGGCAAACATGCAGCGCAACAACACCACCCTCGGCGCAGTCGGACTCGCCAGCCCATCTCGCCTCGCACACATCGCACCCAACATGATGGCCAGCATGTCGAATCCAGTCACCGACGGCCTCGGCATCTCGTCGTCCTCGGACGCATCTTCCAGCAGCGCGGCGGCAGCGGCAGCAGCATCGGCATCGGGAGCAGCGCCAGGACAGGCCCAGCCGACGTCCGCCTCGTCCTCATCTGCGCCAGCAGGCGCGGGTGCCCCCAATACGAGCGGCGGCGGCGGCGGCGGCGGGACAAAGGAGACCTGGAAGAAGCGCAAACAGGCGCTCCTGGCCGAGGCCCGCAACCACAGCGTCGCCAACCTCCAGCTGCACGGCCTGCGCCCGCCCCCCAACCCCTACTACCCGTACTACCAGAACTCGTCCATCCTCGGCGCTGGCGCCTTCGCCGACCCCTACAGCCACGGCCCAGGCTCCTCGTCTTCGGCGCGACACGACGCGGCCAGCGCCAACGAGGCCACCCTGGCCTCGCTCAGGACGGCCATCCTTCGCCCAGACGATCCCAAGCTGCGCAACGACATCATACGCATGGTCGACCAGTGGCTCGCAGACGAGGGCTTCGGTGCCACCCGCCAGGTCCTCATGGACGAGGCGGGGACAAAGCAGCGCGAGAGAGAAGAGGCCGGCCTCGACGCGCGCAAGCTGCGCGGCTGCCTCCTTGAGGGCGACTGGCCCGAGGTCGACAAGCTGCTTGGCAAGCCGCTCGTCAAGAACCACAAGGCCTTCCTCTACGCCGTTTACAAGCAGCAGTTCCTCGAGCACATCGAGCACCGCGAGTTCCAAAAGGTGAGCAGCGTCGGCGTCGGCCTCGGCCTCGGATCCGTCCCGATCGGGTCGTTCGGGACAGGACGGGCGACTGATCCGCAGGTACGTTCTTCTTCCATCGCACGTCCCGCCACCAGGCCTTCACCTTCCTCAACAAGCGCCTCAAGCCGCTCGAGCACTACCAGCCGCACTCGTCCGAGTTCCGCGACCTATGCTATCTCCTGTCGGCCAAGGCCGTCACCGATGCGCCGTCGTTTGCATCCTGGGAAGGCATCCAGCCGGCGCGGGAGAAGCTCGTGATGGAGTTCGCTGCCATGCTCGAGCAGGATCGCCTGGATCGGGAGGCAGGGATGCCTGGGTCAGCGGGGCCGAGCAACGGGGGACCCGGGCTGGGCAGTGGCGGCGGTGGTGGCGGCGGCAACGGCGGTGGCGGGCCAAACGCGTCGAGCACCGACCTTGTCAGCGGCGGGGCCGATGGCGAGGACGGCACAGGCGTCGACAGCAACGGCGCTGGGTCGTCTCAGGGCGGCGGAGCGGGCAATGCCTCAGGCGGCGGGGGTGCAGCCAACGGCGGCTACGTCTACGTGCCACCGCGCCGGTTGATGACGATGCTCCACCAGGCCGTGGCCTACCAGGTCGAGTTTGCGCGCTACCATCCGAAAAAGGCGCCTGTCGTCTCGAGCCTGCTGCACGACTACACGGGCTTCATTGTGCCCAACTCGGTGCAGCACACGATGCGCGGCCACCGCAAAAACGTCAAGAGCGTGCGCTTCGTCGGCGAAGAGGGGCGCAAGATTGTCAGCGGCAGCAGCGACAACACGGTGCGGCTGTGGGACTCCAACACGGGCCGCTGCGACGCCGTGCTCGAGGGCCACCGCAGCAGGGTGTGGGATGTCGACTCGACGCGCGCGGGCGGGCAGGTGGCCTCGGCGTCGGGCGACTCGACCGTCAAGGTGTGGGGCGTCGACGACGGGCAGTGCCGCACCACGCTCAAGGCCGGCCTCGGCGATGTCTACTGCTGCCGCTTCCATCCGGACGAGGTGAGTGACGAGGAGCGCGCGAGATGGCCTGCGGCGACGAGCACGACGCCTGACAATCTTTACCTCTTCCCTCATCGAACATGCCGATCCCGCGTCTCCCCCCTGCCCCGCCCTGCAGCGCCACCTGGTCTCGGCGGGGTACGACAAGCTGGTGCGCATGTTTGATGTCGAGACGGGCTCGATCATCAAGACCTTCACGGGCCACCAGCTGGGCGTGTCGTCGGCCATCTTCAACCCGCTCGGCAACCTGATTGTGACGGCGTCCAAGGACACGACGATCCGCTTCTGGGACGTCATCTCGGGCCTGTGCATCCGCACCATCACGGGCCACCTGGGCGAGGTGACGTCGGTCGAGATGAACGAGAACGGCTCGCTCCTGCTCAGCTCGTCCAAGGACAACTCGAACCGGCTGTGGGACGTGCGCATGCTGCGGCCGCTCAAGCGCTTCAAGGGCCACCAGAACACGAGCAAGAACTTTATCAAGTCGTCGTTTGCCCACACGTCGCTGCTCGTCGGCGGCAGCGAGGATGGGAGGATCTACATGTGGGACCAGGAGAGCTCCGAGGTGTTGCAGACGCTCGAGGGGCACGGATTCGACCTCGACTACGACTGGAGCCGGGGCGGTGCGACGGCGGGCATGGGGCCAGGCGGTGTTGGCGTCGGAGGCGGGTTCATCGCGGGTGGAATGCCCACCTGGCAGCTGCCCAGCGCCGCCGACTCGGAGGGCGGCACGACCGCCTCGACGGCATCGACGACGGCGGGCAGCGGCGCCACGGCCGGCGTCGCCGGCGGTTCGACGACGACGGCGACGGGGCAGGCGGGCAGGTACGACTACGCCATGGCGAGCACGACGACCAACAACAACGTGGCGTACGGCGCCGTGTGGAACAAGGCGCAGAGCCTGCTCGCCTCGTGCGGCGACGACGGCACCGTCAAGACGTGGGTCTGGGACGAAAAGAGGGACCACGACGCCATGGTCGACCTCATGAAGCGGGGCGGAGAGGCTGCGGCCGAGTAGACTGTCGGCGAGGGGGTCCGGCGTGTCCGACGCCGACCTTGCCGCTTAGACGAGCCGTGCGCTTGCTATGGAAAACGATTTGCATACCCGCCACCACCACCGTCGTCGCCGAGGCGCGCCTGTCCCCGGACGCACATGGGGGCCGCGCAGTACACCTGTGAACTCGTCGCTGCCAGCGTCGTCGGCACATCCGAACTCCAACAGCTTGCCTCAGCAGTCGCAGTCGCGATCGCGATCGCAGAGATGGCAGAGGTCCGACACATATCGACCTGAAGCCAGCGGCACGGCGAGAGATAAGGGGGTATCGCAGTATGATTGAGGTCGAGGCAGGAGGATGGGCGACACGGCCCGCCCTCCTCCTCTTTCAGCTAGTCACAGCCGCCGACGCAGCGGCCGTGTACCCGTTTCTCGTGCCGGACACCTCGTCGCTCCTCTCGACGCCCGTCCACTGGGGTATCCTCCTCTCGTCGTCCCCGTCGGCCGCGACCTGCTCGGTTCCCGCGTTCCGCGCCCGGATCTCCTTGACCTTTCGGCTCTTTTCGCTGCCGATGCCCAGGCTGGGCGTGCCCCGCTCGAGACCCTCGAGGAGGACGCAGGCCTTGCAGATGCGGTTGCTCGAGATGTAGCCGCAGCGCTGGCAGTTCTGCAGCTCGATGCCCTTGGCGCGCTTGACCTCGGACGACACGACCAGGTTCTCGCCCGACTGGATAATGTCGACGATCGAAGAGGGCCGGATCGACTCGAGGTCCTTGAGGAACGTCCTTGCGTAGCCGCGGTAGGCGTTGGGCGAGTAGATGCACTCGGTCGAAAAGTAGTCGAGCTTCTTGAAGTAGGCGTACCTGCGAGCCGAGCGGTGGAAAGGGAGCGACCAAGGGATCGAGGAGAGATGAGGTGAGTGCGTCAGCGGATCGCTGCTCTCGGCAAGGCAGAGGTGGACGTGGAAAGAAGCACTCACATGACGATCTCCTTCTCGTAGGCGTACTTGAACGGCTTGCTGCGCCGGATACCGCTTCCGCCGCCACCGCTCCGCCCGCCTCCGCCGCATCCGCCCGCGTGGCCGGACTCTTCGCCGCCGTCGGGTCCCTTTGTGACAATCTCGGTGCAGCGCTCGAGCCGCGAGATGTCTCCTCGCAGCACTGTCGGGCGGCGGGAACGAGAGACGTGCGCGCGTCGGGCGTGTCGTGTAAGCCGAAGGTATCGTCGCCATCGATGACCCACGGTAAGGTCAGGTTCGGCCGAGGGTCGAGGGCCGGAGGTGCTCACCGTTCATGAGGACCGTCTCTGCAATGTCGTCGGCGTTGTGGCCTGTCACGATGTGGTCGACGCCGAGCGACGCTGCACCCCTGTCAAGCGCCTGCCGCCGGAACACGCCGCAGAATGTGCCTGCAAAAGCGAAGTACGGTACAGATCAGCTCCGAGGCCACCTGAGCGCAGCAGTGAGTACCGCGCCGGGTCAGGCCGATGTGCGCTCACAGTTGTTCTTCCTCCCGACGCTCTTGACGATGTCGTCCATGGTCCATCCGTAGAGTTCGCCGTATCCGAGCACCTTGAGCGGAAGCTGGTACTGCTGCTGGTTGCGCTTGACGGTCTCGAGGCTGTCGTCGCGGTAGCCGGTGATGCCCTCGTCGATCGAGAGGAGAAAGAGCTCGAGGCCGTAGTCGTAGCGCTCGTTGAGCGTCTTCATGACGTGGGCCAGCACCGTCGAGTCCTTGCCGCCCGATGCGCCGATGGCGACGCGGTCGCCGCGCCGAAAGAGGTTGGACGAGGTGATGGTGTGGTGCACCTCGGTCTCGAAGACGTGGAAGAAGCACGAGCGGCAGATGGACTGGCCCGTCTTTGGGCGCTTGAGCACCGCGCGCTCCTTCTGGCAGATGAGGCACAGCTTGGGCGCCATCGTGTGCGGGCGACCGTCGTGGTGGTGATGGCGGTGGCGGCGTGGGCAGAGGTTGTGGTGGCGGTAAGACCGGTGGCAAAGGTTGGGCTCGGTGGCGGTGGGAGAGCGAGGAGCACCTCGAGCAAAGGGGTCCACACGGCCCCCCCCCCCAAGGAAAAAAAGTCGCCGAGCTGAGAGCCGAAATCCGGAAGCTTTCGTCTTTGGGCTGGCCCGCCTCGACCCCGCGAGCTCTACCACCACCATCATCATCATCACATCACCACCTCCTCTTCCTTCTCGTCCCCTCCCCATACGGATACTGGATCGATCACGAGCTTCGGCGCTCGATAGATAGACGCCATGGCATCCATACTCTCGCCGCGCTCCGTGCTCGCAAAGGACCGGCATCAGCACCAACACACCGCCTCGTCGTCCTCGACCGCCGATCCTTCGTCGTCATCCACCTCAGGCGAGGGATCCATCGGTGCCCACAATACCAGCGGCGATGCAGGGATACAGCAGGAAGGCGTCGCCCTGGGTGTGGACACCGCAGCCACCTCGTCGTCCCCCTCGCAGTCGATGCTCTCGTCGCTCATGGCCGACAATCCCATCTTCTCGGGCGGCCTGGGCCTCATGGTCTTTGGCGGCACGCTCGCGATCCTCCGTCGCGGCGTCAAGGTGGCCGCCTCGACTGCACAGCGCAGGCTGCTCATCTCGCTCGAGATCCCATCAAAGGACCGCGCCCACCCCTGGTTCCTCCACTGGATGGGCGCGCAGGCGCAGGCCCAGAACATGCGTCAACGCGGCCTCCTCCCCGGCCATCGAAAGGAAGGCTGGAGAGAGTTCCTCGGCGTCCTCAAGGAGAGCAACGCTACCTCCTCCAGGAACGCCAAGGGCAAGGCGCCGGACCGCTCCGGAAAGGGGCCGCGCGACCCTCTGCAGCTCTCAACCGGCGGCTCGAGCGTCTCGCCGGTCCGCATCTACAGCCACGACCTCTCGGTCGAGACGAGCTACAAGCCGCACTCGTCGGCCAACGCCCAGAATGCGGGGCACGCCGAGCGCGGACAGGCCAGCTTCTCGCTGGTGCCAGGGCCCGGCACGCACTGGCTGCGCTACCGCGGCACCTGGATGCGGCTGCAGCGCGAGCGCGACGGCAAGATGGTCGACCTGTCGACGGGCGCGCCCTGGGAGACGGTGACGCTCACCACCCTCTTCACCCAGTCCCACCTGTTTGCCCAGCTGCTCGACGAGGCGCGCCAGCTCGCGCTCGCCTCGACCGAGGGCAAGACGGTCATCTATACCAGCTGGGGCCCCGAGTGGCGCCCTTTTGGCCAGCCCCGCCGCACCCGCGAGCTGGGCAGCGTGGTGCTGGGCAGGGGCAAGAAGGAGGCCATCGTCGGCGACGTGCGGCGCTTCCTCGAGCGCGGCAAGTGGTACGCCGAGCGCGGCATCCCCTACCGCCGCGGCTACCTGCTGCACGGCGCGCCCGGCTCGGGCAAGTCGTCGTTCATCACGGCGCTGGCGGGCCACCTCGACTTCAACATCTGCCTGCTCAACCTGTCTGAGCGCGGCCTGACCGACGACAAGCTCAATCACCTCCTCTCCAACGCGCCGGAGCGGTCCATCCTGCTGCTCGAGGACGTCGACGCCGCGTTCCTCGGGCGCCAGCAGACGGCCGAGGACGGCTACCAGGCCTCGGTGACGTTTTCTGGCCTGCTCAACGCGCTCGATGGCGTGGCGAGCGGCGAGTCGCGCATCATCTTTATGACGACCAACCACGTCGAGAAGCTCGACCCGGCCCTCATCCGACCGGGCCGCGTCGACATGATTGCCGAGCTCGGCGATGCGGAGCGCGGCCAGGTTGAGGAGCTGATGCGGCGCTTCTACCGCAACACGATGCGCGATCAGATCCTCCGCGACAGGCGCGTCGGCGAAGCAGGGGGCGGCGGCAGCGGTAGCGGCAGCGATGCTGCGACTGGCGCCGTGCCCAGCGCCGGGAGCGACAGCGAGGCGGCATCGGATGGCGGCATCGTCATGGTCGGGCACAGGCAGGGCGCCAGCGATGCGGTCGAGACCGACGGCGGCAGCGAGGGGGCGACGACGGCGGTACCGGCGAGCCTGGTCGAAGAGGCGACGCGGCAGGCCGACGAGGAGATTGACGCGCTCGCCGACGAGTTTGGCCGGCTGGTCGAGATCGAAGCCGCGGACCGCAGGAGGGCGCTCGGCCTCGACCCGAGCGGCAGGGCGCGCGTCTCATCGTCGCCGCCCAGCTCCGCATCGTCCGACGCAGTCAAAGACACGGCGGATACGGCGTCGCGAGCGGCTGCGGCTGCGGCTGCGGCTGCGGCGCGCACGGTGCGCCCTCTGCCCGCGGCGTCGGGCGGCGTCAGCATGGCGGAGCTGCAGGGCCTCTTTATCCGCTTCCCCGACGACCCAAGGGGCGCCGTCGAGGCGTTCAAGCTCGAGAACCAGGCGCGCAGGCAGCAGCAGGAGGAACTGGCGGCGGCGGCGTAGCTGGGCGGTTCGGACGGAAGGCTGGCCGGCCCTCAGTCGTGACGGGACAGGCGCGGGCGTGGATCGGCGGGCCCCGGGTGTGCCAATCGGGTAGGGCGGTCGATCTCGCCTGGCCAGGCCTGGCCTGATCGGACAGACGGGTTGGGCGGCCAGCCAGCCAGCCAGCCGAAGCGGTGGGCAGGCTAGGGTCGGGCAGGCCAGGCGGCCAGGCGGCCAGGCGGCCAGGCGGCCAGGCGGCCAGCTGCGTGATGCGCAAACGCAAGCAGTCGGCCTGGCAGGCAGGCTGGCAGACCAGCCCAGCCCAGCCCCTCGAGCGTCTGTCTGGCTGGACCCCGGAATTTTTTCTTCCACTTTCCTGCGCATTTCCTGCGCAGGCCCGCCCGCTGCCGCTGCCGCTGCCGCGCGCTTTGCTTTGCTTGTTGTGCTGGCCAGCAGGCAGGCAGGCAAGGCCTGGGCTCGAGCGGCTTTCCGCGCCGAGGCTGAAAAATAGAAAAGCAACGCACCCGGCCGCACGCGCGAGCGGCCATCTCCCCAATCTCGCCCGTCTGTTCCCAAGCCTCCCGTCCCTCGCCCTCGCCCTCGCCCTCGCCCTCGGCCTTGGTTTGCAACCGGCTGCTGCTCGATCCCCGACTCCCGAGGCCGGCCCCCAGTCAGCCAAAGCTGCACGAAGAACCGGGCGGGCCTCCACACTCTCTCGCTCTCTCTCCAGTAGGCACCTGCCCCGTTCCGCTCATCGTTCTTCGTTCCTCGCCGGTGCCCTCTGGCCCACTCAGTCGTCGTCGTCGTCGTCGTCGTCGTCGTCGTCTCTCTCGCCGCAGTATCGCTTCTTTGCTCGTCGACGCGACTCGCGACAGCCTCGACCGGCACCGCAGCCACCTCCTCGGCCGCGGCGCATTCATTGACCTTGACCGGCCAAGGAGCACTCCTGCGTGCACCTTATATCTACCACTGTCGCCATGGCCGCCACCCGTGAGTAGCCTCTCCAGACGTGCGACGATCCCACACGCTCGGCTCGCACTTTGCCCCTTCTGACTCTGCAACGTTTGCCTGTCCGCTCGTCCTCGACCTCGACCCTTCGATCGGTTCTAGGACTCGACCGGCTCGTCTCCCTCCTCGACTCGGGTTCCACGCCGGCCATCCGAGCGACGGCCGCCAAGCAGCTCGGTCAGATCGCCGCCGTCCGCATCCGCGGGCAGAGCACAGCGCAGCAGGCCGCCAGCGTACACTTCAAGTCGTCTTCGGCGGCTGCCGGCGAGCCCCCCTCGGCCGCCTCGGCAGCTGCCCAGAGGCATCGCGGCGATGGCGGCTTGGCCTCGGGCACCTCGACCCCGGCCTACGACGCCGAGGCCGACGGCGCCAAGCGCGAGGATCTCGCCGGCGCCGGCGCCGCCAACACAAAGTACGGCACCAGCGATCAGCGCAGCAGGCAGCAAAGGTTCGAGGAGCCCTCGAGCGCCGACGACGCCGGCCTCTACCGCGGCACCGAGGGCGACTGGGACGAAATCATTTCGTACCTCGCCCGCGTCATCCCCTTCCTGAGGTCCAAGAGCTGGGACACGCGCGTCGCCGCCTCGCTCGCCGTCGAGAGCATATGCCACGCCGCCGGCATCTGGGACCCCGACATCGAGGCCACCAAGCCAGGGCAGAGCTCAAAGACGCTCCTCGACGCCGCGGCGGCCGGGGACGATGCCGCGCATGCCCATGCATCTTCCTCGGATGCTTCTGCAGGCGGCGGCGACGGCGACGGCCTGCTGACCTTCGACACCTTTTCGCTGCCCAAGGTGCTCGCCATCGGCACCAAGCTACTGTCCTCGGCCGGCAAGGAGTACGACATCGCCAACCTCGGCGACCCGAGCCGGCTGGCGCAGGCCAAAAAGGACGTGGTCAGCAAGCTCGGACTCGGTTTCGGCATGGACATGGACCTCGGCCTCGACGTCGAAGCCGAGCTGCAGACGGGCGAGGCGGCCAACCCCGCCAATGGCCACGGCACCGGCAACGGCGCCTCGTCCGCAACGCCGACCGTCGACTGGCGGACGGCGGCCACGTCCGGCAAGCCTACCGGCCTCCCACCCCCGAAATTCGCCCAGGGCGGGTCCACTAGCCTGCCGCCGCCCAAGTTTGCCGGATCCACGGCCGCCACCGCCGCCAATGCCTCGTCGTCGGCCCCCTCGCCGAGCCCGGCACCCTCGGAGACGCCGACCGAAGAGATTGACATGAGCAAGCTGAGCGCACGAGAGCGCAACCAGCTCAAGCGCAAGCGGAAGCTCGAAGGCAAGTCGGGCGGCGCCCCGAGCGCCGCGCCCGATGTCAAGACGAGGATCGTCGAGGCCAGCGAGTCGCCCGCCCCTGCCGCGTCGAGTACCGGCGTGCGGGTCAAGACGCCCTCGGGCTTCCCGCAGACGCCCGCAACGCCCGCAAACGGACGCGGAGCCGGCGCGACCGACTACATCAACGCTCAGCCACCTCCGACGCCGCGCAGCCCGGCCGGAGGGCCCGGCTCGCATCCGGCCGTTACCAACTCGCTGGCCACCCCGACCCCTGTCAACGAAGCGGCCGTCTCGCCCGGCCCGGCGATGTCTGGCGGAGCCGGCGGCGGCTCAGCCTCGACCTCGTCCTTCAACAGCGGTGCCGCCAGCGCCTTTCAAGCGCGGCCAGGCGAGTGGCCCTTCCGCGTCGTGGTTGATACGCTGAGCGTTGACCTCTTCAGCCCGATGTGGGAGACGCGGCACGGCGCGGCGCTCGGCCTGCGCGAGCTGCTCAAGTGCCAGGGCTCCGGCGGCGGCAAGGTGCAGCTGGCCTCGGTCGAGGACAACGCGCGCAGCCACAAGGCGTGGTGCGACGACCTCGCCGTCAAGCTGCTGTGCGTGTTCGCCCTCGACCGCCTGGGCGACTTTGTCTTTGACCAGGTGGTGGCGCCCGTGCGCGAGACCGTCAGCCAGACGCTGGCGTGCCTCATGCCGCACATGCCCATCGTCTCGGTGGTGTCGGTGCACAACGTGCTGCTCCAGATGATCCGCCAGGACCACGTCGTCGCCGCCGCTGCGACGGCCGGAGAGGGCGACGCGGGCCCCGGTGGCGGTGGCGGGTCGGGCTTCGCGGCCAAGCGCGGCAGCAAGGGCTACGTGTGGGAGGTCAGGCACGCTGGTCTGCTCGGATTAAAGTACGAGGTCGTCGTCAAGAAGGACCTCCTCTTTGGGAGCCGCGAGGCCCGTTTCGATGGCATGGTCAAGAAGGAGGACGACGACGAGAACGAGGATGTCAAGGCAGGCATGGGGTCCGACGCGGCCGCCGCGGCGCCGCCGACCCCCGTCAACATCCTCGACGACGTGCTCGATGTGGCCATCCTCGGCCTCAAGGACGAGGACGACGACGTCCGTGCCGTGGCGGCCGCCACGCTGCTGCCCATCGTCGACGTCGTCGTCTCGCAGTCGCCCGGCCACGTCATCCGGCTGCTGGACCAGGTGTGGGACTGCCTCGGCGACCTCAAGGACGACCTCTCGAGCAGCATCGGCGGCGTCATGGATCTGCTGGCCAAGCTCGTCGAGCACCCGGCCGTCATCGAGCCGCTCAAGGCCGAGGACGGCGATCGCTCGCTCTCGGACCTCATCCCGCGCCTCTTTCCCTTCTTCCGCCACACCATCACCAGCGTGCGGCTGTCGGTGCTCAACGCGCTCAAGGTGTTCCTCACGGTGCCCTCGCTGCCCAAGGAGTGGATCGACGAGCGCGTGCTCCGGCTGCTGCTCCAGAACCTCGTAGTCGAGGAGCGCCTGCCCATCCGCCGCGCCAGCGCCGAGGCGTGGTCCCACGCGCTCGCCCACGTCTCGGCGGATGCGGCGCGGCTCAGCGCGCTGCTCGGCCCCTACATCCCCAACTTTTTCCGCATCATCATGACACCGCTCGGCTCGCCGATCGACTTTTCGCTCTTCTACGATCCCTCGACGGCGCTGGGCGGCGGCGGCGGAGGCGGATCGTCGTCGACGGTCCGGCACAATGTCGACAAGAACATCCTCGCCCAGGACCTCTCGCTGGTCGGCGTCGACGCCGTCATCCGTGGTCGGCTAGGCGCCGCCGAGGCCCTCGGCGCGGCGATGGCCAACTGCCCACGGGAAAACGACGAGGCGGCGTTCGGCGCGCTGCTGCGCGACTACCTCGACTCGACGTCGGCGCTGCAAAAGTGCCTCACCGCCGCCGTCATCCAGGAATGGGCGGAGCGGGCGTCGTCGGGCGAGCGCGGCGACCTCAAGGACCAGAGTCCGCTCGCGCTCGACGTCAGCGGACGGCTCATCTCGCTGCTCGAGACGCCCCCGCCGCCTACCTATGCCGAGATGACGGTGATGCTGCAGCGGATCCAGGCCGAGTGCCAGGGGCTCTACAACGCCTTTGGCCGCGACGCCAAGCTGGCCAAGGCCAAGATCCCGGCGCTGCCCACCACCGTCGACCCGCTGGGCATGCTGGTCGACGCCTTCACCATCGAGACGGCCAAGCACGTGGCGCAGCAGGGCTTCGACTCGCTACTGGTCCAGGTCGGCTCGCGGGCCAAGAAGGCGGCGCTGCCGCTGCTCGAGGACCGCCAGCGCAAGCTGATCGCCGCCATCGGCTTCTACCAGGCCACCAAGGACAAGCAGGACATCCAGGTGTACGCGTCCACCGCCAGCGCCGTCATCTCGCTCAAGGTGCTCCCCTCGAAGCTCAACCCGGTGATCCGCAGCATCATGAACAGCGTCAAGTTCGAGGAGAACCTCGACCTCCAGACGCGCTCGGCGCGCGCCGTCGCCCGCTTCGTCGCCTTTTGCACGTCGTCGGCGGCCAAGTCGAACCCGAGCGACAAGATCGTCAAGAACCTGTGCGCCTTTGTCTGCCAGGACACGACGCAGGTGGCCATCTTTGCCAACGTCCGGGACGTCCACGAGGGCATCCTCAGCCTCGGCGAGCAGGCGGCGACGTCTTCGTCGGCTGCGGGCCCGGCCCCGGCGGGCAGCGGCAGGTCACTGGGCCGGCCCAAGGACGAGCCTGTCGAGTCGGAGGAGGTGCGCCAGGGCAAGCTGATCCGGCGCGGCGCCGAGACGGCCATCGCGCAGCTGGCGGACCACTTTGAGCTGCAGCTGTTCGACGTGGTGCCGATGCTGTGGGAGTGCATGAGCGCCGCGCTGCTGCGGACGTTTGCCACGTCGGCGGCCGACGGCGATGCGGCCATCGCGGCGCACGACGAGGCGGGACAGGGCGTGCTCGACGCCTGCGCGCTGCTGCGCGTCATTGTGCCCCACCTCAAGGGCCGGCTGGCCGCGCGCGTCGCCGACCTGCTGCCGGCGCTGACGATGGCCGTCCAGAGCCGGTACGCGGCGGTCCGCTCGGCGGCGGCCCGGTGCTTTGCGGCCGTCTCCGACTGCCTGACGCAGGTGGCGCTGCGGCACGTCGTCGAGCAGGTGGTGCCGCTGGTGGGCGACGCCGGCAGCGTGACGAGCCGCCAGGGCGCCATCGAGCTCGTCTTCCACGCCGTCCAGCTGCTCGACCTCAAGATCCTGCCCTACGTCATCTTCCTCGTCGTCCCCGTCCTTGGCCGGATGAGCGATGCCGACGAGCACGTGCGGCTGATGGCCACCAACACGTTTGCGTCGCTGGTCAAGATGGTGCCGCTCGAGGCCGGCCTGCCGGACCCCGAGGGCTTCTCGCCCGAGCTGCTGCAGCGCCGCCAGGAGGAGCGCCGGTTCCTCACGCAGCTGCTCGACGGCAACAAGGTCGAGGCGTACGAGGTGCCCGTCAAGATCAACGCCCAGCTCCGCAAGTACCAGCGCGACGGCGTCAGCTGGATGGCGTTCCTGGCAAAGTACCACCTGCACGGCATCCTGTGCGACGACATGGGGCTGGGCAAGACGCTCCAGTCGATCACGATCCTTTCGAGCAAGCACCACGAGCGCGCGGAGCGCTTCAAGGCGACGGGGTTGCCCGACGCCCGGCACCTGCCGAGCCTCATCGTGTGCCCGCCGACGCTGACGAGCCACTGGGTGCACGAGATCCGGCAGTACTCGACCAACCTGCGCCCGCTCCTCTACTCGGGCCTGCCGGCCGACCGCGCGCGGCTGCAGGCGCAGATCGCGAGCCACGACGCCGTCGTCATGTCGTACGACGTCGTGCGCAACGACATTGCGGCGCTGTCGCAACTCAGCTGGAACTACTGCATCCTCGACGAGGGCCACGTCATCCGCTCGGCCAAGACCAAGACGACGCGCGCCGTCAAGATGATCCGCGCCCACCACCGCCTCATCCTGTCGGGCACGCCCATCCAGAACAATGTGCTGGAGCTGTGGAGCCTGTTTGACTTCCTGATGCCCGGCTTCCTCGGCACCGAGAAGGCGTTCCACGACAAGTTTGGCAAGCCCATCATCGCGTCGCGCGACGGCAAGCTGTCATCGCGCGAGCAGGAGGCGGCGGCGCTGGCGCTCGAGGCGCTCCACAAGCAGGTGCTCCCCTTCCTGCTGCGCCGGCTCAAGGAGGACGTTCTCGACGACCTGCCGCCCAAGATCATCCAGGACATCGAGTGCGACCTGAGCGACGTCCAGAAGCAGCTCTACGACGACTTTAGCAAGACCGAGGACCAGGACGAGGTCGAGGCCGCCTTCGGCGGCGGCGGCGGCGGCGGCGGCGGCGGCGGCAACCCCGAGCAAAAGCAGCACGTCTTCAAGGCGCTGCAGTACATGCGCAAACTCGTCAACCACCCCAAGCTGATCCTCAAGGACGAGGATCCCAAGCATGCCGCCATCAAGCAGAAGCTGCTCAAGGGCGGCGGCAACCTCGACGACATCGCCAATGCGCCCAAGCTGCAGGCCCTCAAGTGAGTTGATGCGTGGTCAAGGGCAGCCGCCGCTGCTGCTGTTGCACGAGCCGAGTGCTGACCCTCTGGCCTTTGCTCCCTTCTGCCGCTGCTGCTGCTGCTGCTGCGCGCCAGGCAACTGCTCAACGACTGTGGTATTGGCAACCCGTCGGCATCGGCCGAGGCGGATGCGCTGTCGGCGCCCGAGTCGGCCGTGTCGCAGCACCGCGTGCTCATCTTCTGCCAGCTCAAGCAGATGATGGACATTATCGAGACTGACCTCTTCCGCGCCGTGATGCCGTCGGTGAGCTACATGCGGCTCGACGGCAGCGTGTCGACCGAGAAGCGGCACGGCATCGTCCAGACGTTCAACGCCGACCCGTCGATCGACGTGCTGCTGCTCACCACCCAGGTGGGCGGCCTGGGCCTGACGTTGACGGGCGCCGACACCGTCATCTTTGTCGAGCACGACTGGAACCCGATGAAGGACCTGCAGGCCATGGACCGCGCCCACCGTCTCGGCCAGAAAAAGGTCGTCAACGTCTACCGCCTCATTACCCGCAACACGCTCGAGGCGAGGATCATGGGGTGAGTGGCCGCGCCGGGGCCGGGGAGGCCGCGAACGCGAACGAACGGACAGGATGACTGATTGATCCGTGTCTGCCGTCTCGACTCCTCTTGCTTCTTACCTTCCCCCCGCCAGCCTGCAACGGTTCAAGCTCAACATTGCCAACTCGGTGGTGACGCAGCAAAACAGCGGGCTGGAGAGCATGGAGACGGACCAGATCCTCGACCTATTCGACGCGCCGACGGGAAAAGACGGCAGCGACGGCGCTGGAGCGGGGCGCAAGGGCGTGGGCGCCGACGGGGGCAGGATCAGCCAAAAGGCGCTGCTCGAGAACCTCGAGGCGATGCCCGAGACCGAGGAGGCAGAGTATGCGGCCATGAGCGGCTGGAGGCCCGACCAGGCATCGTAGCGGGCCGAGGCGCCGGCTTGGCGTTGGCGTCGGCCGACAATGAATGCAAGGTGCCGACGCGACACTGCTGTGCCGGGACGACAGGACAGCCGTCTGGCAGCCAATCGAGATCGCTGGAGGGTATGGTATCTTTCATTTCAGCTTGCTTGCCGACGAGGCCGTGGTTCGACTGGAGCGGCGCGGTCCCACACCCGCCGCCGTCGGCGCGGCTTCGATCTTTGGCCTTGGAGCCGGGTCCTCCTTTGCCCTCTTGCTGAATTGTTGCTCGTCCGCCGGGCCCTTCCTCTTCCCGGCCGGAGCAGCGTCGAGTTTGCGCGACACGGCGAGGGCCCAGGCTGCGAGCTCGTAGTCGCTTAGAGACCACTGCTGCCTCCGCTGGTCGCCGTCGCCGTCTTCGTCTCGATCCTGGGCCTGGAGTTGGGTCAGCCTGGTCCACACCTTTGCGTAGTAGGGCAGGGTGTACTTTGGCTTTTCGTGCATGACGACGTCTACGAGCTCGTCGCTGAGGAAGGCGAGGCGGTCGGGAAAGAGGAGCGCGAGGATGGCCGATGCGGTCGCGGCGCCCACGCCCTTTAGCTGGCACAGGGTGTCGAGGGCCGACTGGACGGGTGCGAATCCGTCCTGCCCCGACGACGACGACGACGACGACGACGACGAGAGGACGTCGATGGCCGAGGTCGTGATTCGCTTGACGGTGCTGTCGTCGTTGGAGGTGACGAGGGGTAGGAGGGTGGGTCGGAACTTGCCCCTCTTTTGCGGGTCGTCGTCGTCGAGCCACGGCGAGGCGAGGCGAGGCGAGGCGGGGATCAGCATACGTGCAGGGAGCCAAGGAGGAGCAGCAGGCGTTGCGGGTGACGTACGGCCATCTTCCACTTGACGACGGTGGTGAGCTCATCCTTGTCCAGGCCTCGCTGCGCATGGATGCGCGAGAGGATCTGGTGCGGCAGCGTGTGGCGGGCCCAGTGGTCGAGGTGGGCGAGCGTCTGGCCGTCGTTGTTGGGGCCCTTTGCATCCGAGTGACGCTGCAGGATGGAAGGGTAGAGCGCCAGGTGGATTGTCAGCTCGGCCGGTGGTGGTGGCGGTGCCGGTGGCGGTGGTGGTGGCGGCTTGGCTGGCATGGTGGGCGAGGCTGGTCGTGCGTGGGTTGTGGGAGCGGAAGCTGAGCAGAGAGAGGGAGAGAGGGGTCGATGTCGAGGGGCGGCGGGGTCGAGGATGTGGAGGCCTTTGCTGTGCGGGCGCGGCGCGCGGTCCGTCTGTGTCGCCCTTCTCTCTCTGCTTTCTTCTCTTGGCGTGGGCCCCCCATCTCGACTCTGGCCGTCGTCGAGAGGGGGCTCGCTGCAAACCTCGAAAATATCACCTGCAAAATTCCACGCCAACCACCACCACCACCATCACCTCTGTCGCCATCGCCGTCGCCATCTCCATCGCCATCCTCTCCGACTGCTGCCGTTCGCCATCCGGTCCATCTCCCATCCGCCCCGCCCCGCCCCGCCCCGCCCCGCTCGCCTCCCTCCCTCCACCATGGCGCAGATCACCACCACCACCACATCGGAAAACACCATCCAGACCCTCGAGCGCATCGGCGCCCACTCCCACGTAAAGGGTCTCGGCCTCGATGACCAGCTCGAGCCCCGCCCCAACTCGCAGGGCATGGTCGGACAGCGCGCCGCCCGCAAGGCCGCCGGCGTCATTGTCAAGATGGTCCAGCAGGGCCGCATCGCCGGCCGCGCCATCCTCATGGCCGGCCCCCCCAGCACCGGAAAGACGGCCATCGCCATGGGCATGGCCCAGACCCTCGGCGCAGACGTCCCCTTTACCATGCTCTCGGCATCCGAGGTCTTTTCCCTCGAGATGAGCAAGACCGAGGCGCTCATGCAGGCCTTCCGCCGCTCCATCGGCGTGCGCATCCGCGAAGAGGCAGAGGTCGTCGAGGGCGAGGTCGTCGAGATCCAGATCGACCGCAGCCTCACCGGCGCCACAAAGACGGGCAAGCTCACCGTCAAGACGACCGACATGGAAACCATCTACGAGCTCGGAAACAAGATGATCGACTCGCTCCAGAAGGAGAAGATCACCGCCGGAGACGTCATCGCCATCGACAAGGCCAGCGGGCGCATCACCAAGCTCGGCCGCAGCTTCACCCGCGCCCGCGACTACGACGCCATGGGCAGCGACGTGAGCAGCGCCTCGGCATACCTTGTCCTTGCTTTTCCTTTGCTTGCCGGCTGACCTCTGCAATCCCTCCTCTCTCTCTCTCTC